TCGGGTTGGGCCACTCATCGAAAGGGGGCCGTCGCCATTCGGCGGGCGGTCCTGGGAAGGAGTGTAGAGAATGGTCGTCAGCGACAGGACTTCCCTTGGGCTCTTGGATCCGGACGATGACCCCATCTTTAACCGTGAACCCGAGGCGGGTGGCTTCTGGGTCGTCTTGGGCGGGTTCCTTTCTGCTGGGTCCGGCTTCATCGGGGGGAGGCTGTGCTCCTAATAATCTGCTCCCTTTACCGGTCCATGGGTTTCGGAAGCCTTCAACCCGCCGGTCGCTAGGGTACTTCCTGGTTTGGGTAAGCCGAGAAGCCGTACTCGGCATGGATCGTTGACTGAACATGGTTATGCTTCGGGCCGAGAGTGCCGTGTATACGGCTCTCCTCGGCGCGATGGGTGGAGTTTGTGGTAGTGGCCGAACATTTGTTTGTGGTTGGAATGGGGGCATCGGCCCGAGCGGGTCTTCGGGATGCCGACGGCCATATTCCTTCCAGGCGTATTCCGTCGCGACGTACTGTAGAATTCTTTTTTTTTCAATTGATTCTGTGTACTGATATTCAAGTCCAAGGGAAGTCGCCAACCAGTGGGCGTCTCCCCATAAGAAAAGCATCTCTTGCTCATACAGCTCTGTGTACTCCTTCTGTCTGTTCCTCTCAATTTCTTCCCTCAATGCTTCTTCATCTGGCCGCTGTCCTGCGTATGTCATAAAGTGTCGGGGGTCAAAGGGCCCTTCCTCGTCCTCCCCGCTGTCTCCGTTGTCCTCGTTGTCCCCGCTGTCCCCACTGTCCTCCCCTAGGAGGGAACCTGCGAGCTGGGTGGAGGCGAGGGGCTTGAGTCGCAGCGTCGTCGGGGAGCCCCCTGGTGTTACTGGGTCCTGCGCTGTCCTCGTCGGTTTGCTGGACCGGTACGGGTGGGACTCCATAGTACCTTGTTCCGCCCGCCGTTCTTGCTCTCTCCAGTTCTTCGCTATAGAGGCCGAAGTTTCTGTAGAACTCCGGAAGAAGGAACTGGTGGGCGACCCGACTTCCGAGGAATCGTCGGAGGGTGAGGTCAGAGACATGGGCGTTGTCGGGTACTCAGAGCCCATAGGCGTCGAGTACGGAGTCGGCGTCGGATGCGATGGTGTCTGTTCTGCTGGGGTACTGTAGGTCTGGGGGGGAAGGTCTTCTTCCCCTCCTCTCGGCTTCGCTTCTGGTGATGGGGCTTCCTGGTCTGGTCCAGGGATCCTCATCAGAGTGTGGCTCTCTAAAGGGGGACCCAGACCCTGAGGACTGGAGCCCATATCCTGCGGGGGAGGCGGAGCCCATCCTCTCTGCTTCTTCTTGTCTCCTTCTTGCTCGCCCTTGTCGGTTGTACTCAGCTTCCTCGTACTCCCGCTGGGCCTGTTCCTGTGTGTACTCGGCAAGCTCTTCTCGGGCTCGTTCTTCCTCTGCTCTACGCTGCTGGGCCTGCTGCTGCTGTCGTAGTGCGCTGTCATAATCAAATGGGACGGTAAGGTCCCAGTCCGGGAATACCCTCCAGATGATCCTGTCTCTTGCAATTCTCCCTCTCTGACTGGCAGTCCCGACTTCTGGCTCACTTCCGACGTGGAGGTGTCGGTATGGGTCTCCAGCCGCCGAGATGGCAATTTCGACGTTGGCATAGTCGGGGTGTATGGTCCTGCCATGGGGGTTCTCGACCTCCAGCCTGCTGACGGACCTGCTGGAGTTGGAGTTCGGCTCGGTGGGCTCGTAGAGGGGGTCTCGGGGCGGGTTGGGGGAAGTCCTGGTTCTCGAAGCCACCCGAGAGGCATCACGGGAGTCCCGAGCATGGTTTCCAATCCCTGGGGTGCGAGAGATGGTGGAAGGGTTACTGATGACTGGAGGGAGATTGTGGGGGACCTCCTGGGCGACCTGGGGGACCGTCGTGGTCCACGGGTTTCGGAACCCTGTGAGGTTATGGTCCCGGTTTCTGCTGTCAGGTCATCGAGGAGGGTATCAGTGTCTTTCTTCTTCTTGAGGGCTCCCCGTATCCTGGCAGCTATGCCCGGCTTCTGGTACGGGAAACTCCTCCGGCTGGAAGGTCGTTCTGGCAGAGGGGGGGATGTCATGGAAAGGGAGGTCCGGGGTTACGTTTCGGAGGATGTGCTAGATTTGTTGGAATGCTTGGTAGTGCCTGACAATCCAAGTGGTGATTGATTGTCGCCCTCGGCAACAAGTGATGATGGCCAAAAGGCTAAGTAGTGTTCTGATGATGGAAGCTATTAGTTCGAAGAAGTCGTGGTTTAGGGCGTGGGTTGTAGCTGGAGTCATTCGGTTTCTCAGCACAATTGGGCTTGAGAAAGGGAAGAAGGAAGCTTCGAGCTAATTGTTATGCCCAAGCGTCATGTGAACTGATACACGTGATAAACAGGTGTTCCTTCGCACTTCGAGGAATCACCTGAGTCCACTATATGTATATCCACGTGGTGTGACTCAAGGTCAGATATAGACTCGAGGTAGAATGGTGTGTATAAACTTTAGCTCGAAGCTGGGTTTCTCCAGCGAGAGCTATGAGCCTTAAATACTGTTCGTGTGATGTTAAAAATACTACTACTTATTGTATCGACTTGTGTCCATGGTGCCCGTTGTCCTTGAGCACCGTTGTTGTACATAAAAGGGCGGCTATGTGTCATCAAGCGTTGTTGTGTATGTATAGAAAATAAGTCCCTTGTGCTGACCAATCTCTTCCCACCACACTCTGACTAAGCATAAATAGGGGTTAACAGCAAGCTTTAAGGAAAAATTGTAACATACCTGAAGTGTGAGGTATCGAACTGTTTATCACATGTTGATAGTCATGTGGAGTTTAGGCTTAACACTTTTCTGATCATCACTAAAATAGATTCTTCAGCCTATAAGCTCCATCTTTCTACTTTCTGGCATATCCATGATGTATTCAATGAAACTCTTCTTATCTCTTACATTGCTCTGACCTTCTCAAATCAGAAACAACCACCACCATCCAAATCTGAATTAATTGATGACAAAGAACACTAAAGTTGATGAAGTCTTCAATCATCATCTCTATAAGATCTATGCTCATAGCAGGGGATCCTGAATAACAGTTGATTATTTGATCAGTTGGAAGAGCTATAGTTCTAAGTCTAACCAGTGGGTCAATGAATAACATATGAACACTGCTGATATCATATATGACTATGAACTCTCTCTAGAATGATTTATCAGAATGATAGTTTTAAAGAGGAGAGATAATGTTATAATTTTTTCTACTTTTCTTTTCTGTTTAGCCCCTATTCATGCTTAGTCAGAGTGCTTAGACCAGTGCTTAGGACCATGGGATGTGCTTAGTCACCATAATAGGCAGAGTCAGCCATTGTTCTTCAACAATGATAATATCCCTTGACAACAGACAATACTCTTTTGTAGTTAGTAATGATGCTCAAGAATGATGAGTAACATAGTACAGAAATATACAATTAGTAGATATATATTTAGCTATGACACAGACAGTATATAAGTAGTGTAGCTCTTGCTGTACAACCCCACCTTTGAGCTAAAGTTTATTCTTCACTACTCTACCTTGAGCCAACTTGTATTGGCCTTGAGACATAACACCATACAAGCATATATAGTGAACTTGGGCATGACCATATGAACTTGATACAGCACTCATTTATCATATGTTTAGATCACATGTCTCTTGAGCTTAACATACCTGAACCTGAATGCTCTCTTGAGATGGTTATTGCATCTGTGATAGTATACTCTAATTCTATATCCCTCACTAATTTTGGAACAGCTGCTCTTTGGCCTGCTTATATTAGTATAGAATTAATATCCAAGTATGTTCAGGCAGTATCTTTCTTTTCTCAAAGCTATCATCTTGTATATTTTCCACAGGTTTGTATCTCTTTATTGGTTTTTATGCATACAAGTACTGATAAGCTCTTATTTTTCAGTTATTGAATAATATTCAAGATATTTATATCAAAACATTTAAACCATCTGCATCAAAAGAATTACTGATGTTCCTGAAGTGTGAGTTCATATAGAAGATATGAGAACTTCTTGATCCAGAGTTCATGCATGTGTATGAATATGGAATTGTGATTGAATGTGCAGATGGAATTCTTTGTTGAGTATACCCTCAGTTTCTTACTTATTCTGCAGATTATCTCAAAAAGTGAGTTGGAGTTGTTTATATTCTTGCTGCAACTCACTCCAATTACTAAATTCAGAGTTCTTCTTGCAAGCATTAAATCTCTCAGACAGTGCCTTTGTCCACAATGCCTGATCCTCAAGAACAAAGTGCCTGATGTAGAAATAAAGCAGAATCTCACCAACCATGAGTATAACACTAAGGTTGACTCAGAACAATAGCAGCATGATGTTGAGTTAGTCTATAAATGGATCTTTATTAAAGGATATCTGATATCAGAGAAACAAGTCAAGAGAGTTATTGGACCTGTCTCTTTGACACCAAACTGTGTATATTTCTGGTTATCTTTTCAGTGTGTTCTCTGATAATTTTGACATCATAGAATGCTTTTTCTGAGGCTCTGTTACCTCTGGAATTCAATTTCTATCAAATGTTTGTATCAGACTTGATGCATGAGTCAGAGAGCAGTGGCTGAAAGTCTTTATTCACCTATCTCATCTGCATTTGTTATGAAATTCCAGGAGTAATTCAGAAATTAAATAAGAGGTAAGCAGCTCTACAACACTCTCTTACAACAATAATGATTCCTCTAGACTTCATTCAGTTTTTACATTTGGATGCTCTATAATTTGCAAGATCAGCAGTGATATGTTGGGTCAGAAGAAGTTTGCTGTCAGAGACTATGAAGATGTACTTCAGGTATGTTGACCAGGTTTGTGATGTTTATTGCTAGGCTAAAGTACTAGCAGCAGTGTTCATTCTTATGTTTTGATGGTCTTCTCTCTGATACTTATGATAATAAAATTATGATGGACATAATTTTCATATAGGCTACATGGCATGCCTTCACCAAAGCATGAATGCATATGGATTTGAGTCTCCAAGTCTTGCATAGTGTAATGACATTGCTTGAGATACAACTTCAATCTTTTTCACAAAGTGTTTGCACAAACATCCACATGAGAGAATTGTCTAGTGAAACAGCAGCACAAGTTCAAAAGCTTATTCACACAGTGAAGTCAATGGCTCCAGGTGTATTCAAATCAATTAAGTCCTTTAATCTCCATACCTACAAGACTCATGCTTTTGGCAACTATATCCAGTGCATCCCAAAATTTGGTACTTCAGATTCTTATAGCACATAGATTGTTTGTCCACTTCTCTTTTAAATATACTATTTCAAAAGCTAAAGTAGTATTCAGAGTGAGCAGAAACATTACTATGTCAAACTCTTCTATTCATATACTAATAAGCATGGACATATCAAGCAAATAGCCACACTTGAATGGCAATAATAGTGACTATGATAAATCCTTACACAATGGATCTCTAAACTCAAAGTCTGATTGAAGATGACAATATCCCTAAGAATTAGCCCCAATGAGAAGGATCTACCACTAAAAGGATGACTAGAAGACCATTATCAGATATCTCTGTCAAAAAGTTACCCATTGAACCTTCATCACTGGCTTGCTGATAATGAGGGTGATCTCACTGTTGAGGTGAGGATTTGGTTGCCAAAACATTTGGCACACTTTTTAAGTAACTCAATACTGATTGTCTACTATAGGATTTCATTCTCAAGCTGAAAGAGCACATTCTTTGACAACTTCTTATAAATGAGATATCTACAGAAGATGAAATCACCTCAGAACAACTCAGTAATCTTCACATTATCAATGATCACATCTTTTGCTATAAAGTCCTTTGAATCAATTACACCACCTATGATATTTACCATGATCAGAATTCAATCCACCCTCAGACATATTTTGATGTCATTGTACTGGCAAATGACTCCTCTGAAGTGGATGCTCAGACATATCCATATTGGTATACATGAATCATTGGACTCTTTCATGCTGATGTTTATTACAAACTCTGATAGAGACTTCAAGGATCATGTGAAGGTGTTCCAAGTTGATTTTGCATGAGTCTGCTGGTTTGGCTTCAGTGCTGGCTATCATTCTGGATTCACCACAAGGCAGCCTCATTATATTAGATTCATTGATGGTACAGATCCTGCAGCCTTTGGTTTTCTTGATCCAAACAATATTATTTGAGCTGTTCACCTGATTCCTGTTTATAAGCTTGGTCAAATGCCAGAGTTCTTACCTCCCTCCATTGCACATCAGCCTGAGGATAAAGACCAAGATTATGAAAGGTACTTGGTTAACATGTGAGCAGCTGCTATGTCTTGATATGTGTTGCTCATCTCAGTATATTCACAGGCAGGCTGATCATAACATGATTTTTCAATATTGTGGTCTTGGTGTTGGCCATTGTAGCATCTGGAAAGTGACACACATGTTTTGTGAGAACATATATAGAGCATTCAAACTCTCAGATGATGTCTTTGATGTGAGAGAGGATAGGGTGATGGAGGATGTGAACTTGGAGCAAGATGACAAAGGTGAGGACATCTCATCTGATTCAAATGGGTTGGAAATAGTACCAGACATGGTCAATGAAGAGGGGTGAGATAATGAGGCAGATGTAGTAGATGATGATGAGTTGGATCAGTGGAACACAGATTCAGGTGATGAGATTGAAGGGGAGGAGAAGGAAAACCTTGGTAAAGAAGCAGAAGTGGAATTGGATGATATCTGTGACAATGATGACAAAAAAATTGCTTTAGAACTAGATCCGGGGTTTTCTGCATTGTAAATACCTTGTAACATGGTTACTTACCCAAATAAACCTAGCGTGAGATTTTGGCTAGTTATATGTTCTTACAACTGCAACTGAGAGGATTATAATCGGTAAGATCCTAAATTAAACTGATGAGTTGTTTACTTAGGTATACAAAATTGGCCTCTCTTTATATCAGGTTATGTACAAAGTCACCTGTGATAAAGATAGGTAACCTTTTTCTACTTTTTGTGGTGCTCAGTTGTTTGAAGAATGGTTGAGTTTAGCGGAGGTTGTCTCAGAACGTGTTCATCTCGCTCTTATCTTGGCAATAATAAAACTGAGCGGGAGTTGGAAATAAAATCCCGGACAGGGGGAGACTCGGAGGTGGGGAGTAACCTTAAAAGTTAAAACACGAGGCCCCCTTACTATATAGACCTTTTGGGAGGTGTGATTAATAGTATCTGCATAAGTTATCAGTATCTACACCATAAATGAAGATCATGGCTAATGCACTTATCTTTCTGGCCTCTTTTACTCCTTACGATGGGTGCAGCCAAAACAGGAACGAAGATTTTCGGCGATTTCCGGTCAATCCTTTTCTCGCCATCATGCTGAAGTTTGCGTCCAGAAGGGTTCTCTCACAAACGCGCCTCTCTCTTCCTGTCTTCCGCTCATGGTCGACTGCTCCGAGCTTTCCTGAGCATCAGCAGCCTAACCCAGAATCACCGTCACCATCATCATCCGGCGCTACGATCAGCACTGAGCGAAGCTCTGCAGTGAGTCCCCCGACGACGGCCACGACAAGCGCAGACTCATTTTCGTTGCGCTCCCAAATACAATTTCATCTCCGTACTACACAGGGGAACCCCCTCGCCTCTCTCCCCCCCGATGACTCAAAATCCACATTCATGAATATCCCTCCTCCAGAGGACCCTCTGCTGGAGTTCTTCGCCACCATGATCATGAAACACGGAAAGAAGGCCAAAGCCTCAAAAATTGTGTCGCGGACGCTTTTGCATATACACGCATACACCCGGGCACCTCCGCTGCCAATTTTGCGCGAGGCCCTCTTCGCTATCTCCCCACTGACGATATGTTTGCGGGTCAAGACCACAGCTTTGAAGCATATCATGAAGCCGGTGCCGCTGAGTGAGAGGCGGGGTCTGCGTAAAGGGATAAGCTGGCTGTTGGAGGAGTGTAAGAGACCCGGGCCACTGGCGTTGGACGAGAGACTGGCAAGGGAGATTATAGAGATTTTGAATGGGACGAGCAAGATCTTGGCCAAGCGAGACAATGCCCACAAAGAAGCTATGCTCAACAAGTGCGTTTCCTTTCTCAAATCCCATTTGCTTCTATTGACGTTTTGTTAGGGCGTATGTGTTCAGGAGAAGATAGTACGGTTTCTGTGTACTCTTACTTGATGTAGTCGCAATTTCTACCTTTGGAACATCTTCAGGCCAACAGTTAAAGAGCAAGCTCATTGGGAGCTCATTTGAGCGAAGAAACCTTTCATCAGCCTGACGAGTGGTTTTTCTTTAGGCGGGATCTATTTGGATCCAACAGCACCTATGACGATACACCTTTACGAGCTCTGCTCTCGTACGACGTTCAAGCTACATTGGATGCCCGTAGCAAGCTCTTTAGAGTCTGGTAGCTCAGTCTCGCTCGTGGATCGCAAATGACAGCACATATGGATGTGGTGAAAAAAAGGATGCCCGTACCACCCTCCGTCTTTCCACTTCAGTATATCGAGTAAACGGGGCATCGGTCCGTAGACGTTGCTAAGGGAGGTTCTCTATGGTTGATCTTGTTTGTTCTGAGTGCCATCATCTATTTCCAGCTTCTGAAAACTCTTTTCCCAACCCTTACATATTCAGACTTACACTTTGGTACTTACTTACAAGGCCAACAATAGTCCAACTCTCTTTGTCAGGTTGGCACTGTTGTTCTGCAAATCGCCATTGCTTAACATGCAAAAAGTTTTCTGCGCTCATTTGCTGAAAATGCTATTTTACACCTACATGGGAATATAGCTAGCAAAGAAGGTCTCTCAGATTTTCCTATCAGGTTGATGGATAACTGAATGTTGCTGTTGCAACTCACATCAGTTGAGAGCATATCAATAAGGTGCATTGAAATGCCAAAAGCCTCGTAAAACAAGGGACCAGTTCAGGTCTAAGTGAAAAGTTGTTGGAACCAAGCACCCTTGGAATCACCTTTTATATCTCAAAGCCATACATATGAAAGGCAGCCAGCGGTCTAGTCAAAAAAGTGTAAATTTTACATTTGCCTTATTAAGCTTCAACACTTTTTCCGACTGACCTCCTTGTCAGAGGGCTTGGTTACATCTAACGATATCCAACCCTGAGTTCCACAAGCATGATAAGAGACAGAGGAAGAAGTTGACATTGGCAGTGACGGCAAAGTATTCGGGTGGGTCTGGTACCAGCATCTGAAGTTGAAGTGGGTGTAGACATCGAGAAGGAGGGGACGTTGGTATGCAATGACATTACAGGAATTGGTGGCTGAGGTAAAGGTCATAGAAGGGAAGGAGAAAACTCGCAAGGGTCTGGATGTGGTGAAGGCCAAGATGGACGAGATCATGGGCATTGGTGAAGCCGATAGAATGGACCGGGTCTAATAAAGATAGCGTTCGATGATACTTCGAGCGGGTCAAACGCCACGAATTCTTGTTCAACGGCCTTCTGCAGAAAACAAAGACAAGTAAGCGAATGCCATAACAATCGGTCAGACAACTGGGAGGGATTTTTTTGCACGCTCGGATCTGGCCTTGTCACCTCCACATTTCTACGCCATCGATAAACCACTTCAGAAGGGGTTACAGCAACAGAATACCGTGTGTACACGGTTCGTTCGGGATACACATGTATCACCACGACATGTATCATCTACACGCAACGAAAAAAAGGAGGGTTAACTCACCGTATGGATTCCATACAACCTTGCCTCTCATCGACGAATGGTAGATATAAATAGGATTGATAGCGACAAAAATTATGTACAAAGGCCTCGTTTGGAGGATTACGCCAGCGGGCTGATCAGTCTGCAGGACAGTCAGAAAGGCTCTTTCCTCCGAGAATAAAGACACGAACTTGATTAGAGATGGCTGCGGGTTGCTTCGAGTGAAGCCGACGTAGATAATCAGAGGTATCCAGCCATAATGAAGCACGGCCTGCGTCGAATCAGCCATCGTTCTCGACACATGTTGTAACACGCACTCGTCCAAGCTCGACAACTTTTGCTATTGTTTCCTGGGTAAAGACTATCAGTACCGCGCCAGACCACAGGAAAATGGGGGGACGAACTTTTGTATCCTCTGAAGGCATGGTGGAAATTTTGAAACGGGTATGGCAAATCCCGAGGCGATCAAAAAAGTTCTTACCGACGACCACATCAACGCAGTGAAGGATGCCGCTTCAGCCTTCGTCGTCGGCGATTCACGTCTATGGCTCACTGGATGCCTCCACGGCTATACAAAATGCGCCGTACGTTTCTGAGAGTCTTTTCCTGGTGGTTGCCAATGATTGCTCTGTAGGCGGACACCGATGAGTGTTACGATCCATCCCGTGGCTCTTTTCTCGATTCTTGACCATTACTTGCGACGGACGGACAAGCAGGATCGCGTCCTAGGAACTCTACTTGGTACGCGGACGGATACGGGAGTAGAGGTTCGCTCGTCGTTTGCTGTGCTTCACAGCGAGACCAGCGAACAGGTGGCGGTGGACATGGACTATCATCGGACGATGTACGACCTACACCACAAAGTGAACTCGAAGGAGGTCATCGTCGGCTGGTGGGTCTGTCTTGTTCCTTGGTCCTGGGCTATTACTAACAGAAGCTAGGTACTCAACGGGCTCGAACCTCAATACTTTTTCTGCGCTCATCCAAAATTTCTATTCACAAGAAACAGCCCCTCATCAGGCTATCCATGTCGCTCTGAATACTGGTGTAGACGATAGTGAGCCTGCTGGCATAAAAGCATACTTCAGGTGTGTGCTCTGAGCGACATACAGTAGGTTTATTGACCCAGTACTCAGCGCACCAGTGGGTGTATTCCCGAGACCCGAAAATTGCGTATTCGTTCCCGTACCCGTTGAGCTACGGTTTCACGACACCGAGCGTAGCGGACGTGAGTATATTCCTTTCATGCACGATCCGAATCCTAACATCCTCCAGTCGACCTCTTGACGTCAACTGCGACCTCCCCTAACTCGACGAGCAACCAGCCCTTGTCCGATCTAGAAATCCTCGAGCAATCCATCCAGAACGTATCCGACATGCTTGACCGCGTGCTCGCATATGTGCGTTCGGTACTAGCTGGAGAGATAAAAGGTGATCCAGCGCTGGGGAGGTATCTGATGGATACCCTGGGTGCTAGTACGGATGATCTGGAGAAGGGTGGCTTTAATGCGAGTCTGCAGGTGTGTTTTTTTGGCTTCGTCTGAGCTATAATGGATGTTGATACTGCGTATAGGATACATTGATGATCTCATATTTAGCCAACCTGGTACGGGCACAAGCAGAGGTGTCTTCTCGGTTAGCGCTCGTCACCTCTGCTTGATGATGCTCTTGACACGTGGGACCACCGGGCAGTGGCCTAGAAATCTTCACGGCCGCGGTTATGTCTTGCGCTATGGTATTATATATCGATTTGGGTAGCCTCATTATTTAGCTACGTCGATATATCTTAATGAGCAGGCATTTGGTGCTGATCTTTCTACCGACCGAATCTTAGCTCAACTTCATTTCATGTCCTGAACGGTAACCACCATGAGCGGGTTTTTTAAATTCTTCCGTGACCATCCTCGCACTGCCTTACCTTCGGTTAATTCGTCAACAGATCTTATACTTACCACGACCAACACATTTAACTCCTATGTTTTTTTAGCCTAGCCAGCCGTCGGTGTTACTAATAGCTGGGCAAGTGAGGTGGGGGGTAAGATCGACCTGCCCTTAATTGAGCTTAGCACTGCGTCACTTGTTACTTCTTCCTCTAACCATGACTTCAAGACATGTATTGCCCCATGCCCTTCCGGTTCCTGCTATCAAAAGACTCTCGAACAAAAAGATCATTCTAGCATCCAACAGCCCCCGAAGAAAGGAAATATTTCAAACTTACGTACGCCGACCCAACATACTGTCGTACTTCGATTGACGTATTTTAGGGTCTCGCCCCCGATATCGTACCTTCAACGTTCCAAGAAAATCTTGCTCCAAGTTCATTCGACGATATACATGAATATCCCGTAGCAACGGCGACTCATAAAGCGGTGGAGGTATACGAGCGGCTGGTGGTGAGTACCCTTCCATGTTTCTACCTGCCTCAGCTCAACCTTCTTGTTAGGAGCAAGACCCGGACGATGCGCCGGACATAGTGATTGCAGGTGCGAATGGTCGCCTCTAGCCTGTCATACTCCCCTGAGCTCACCAAGATAGCCGATACTGTGGTTCTGACCCATGCCCAACCTTCAACATCAGACGTGTCGTACTCCGTGCTACCTGAAACAAATCAAGAACTGTTGGAAAAACCTTCCTCAAAAGAAGACAACCTACGAATGTTGTTGGATCTCAATGGGGGCGTATGCGAAGTGGTGACTGGCGTTGCTTTAGGTGTGTTTGAGTAAAGATAGCTCCTTCCTGACCTCACTGATAGTCCATTAAGTGTATCCCATCCTCTCAGCACCGGGATACGCCATAAAGTGAGTACATATCAGCGGGAGACGACCAGAAACTGATCGCATGGAGGCAGATCCATTGACGAACGCTCGTTGGTGTACTTCGCCGACAATCCAAAACATCTTGTGGAAGCCTACACAGATAGTGGCGAAGGCGTAGACAGAGCCGGCGGATTTGCCATCCAAGTGCGTCATTTAGCGCTCCTTTATAAGCGTTCAACTCATAACCTCCTTCAGGGACTTGGCGGCCTGTTGATACGCAAAATTGAGGGTGATTATAACAATGTTGTCGGATTTCCAGCTGCATCTTTCTTCGCACTCTTAGACCTTTTGATTGAAGAGGAACCTGATTTTCTAGATATGTAATGTAAGTAGTCCAACATAGACGCCTTTTCTTGGTCACGATAATCACCCCGCAACTCGGAAAATACAGTTTCACCGTCATCTGGGGGGACCATGATCTACGGTTATAGGATTTTCCGCTCATAGGTCTCTAGTTAGCCGTACTAAGTGAGCTGGCGTTCCACAGTGTCTGCTTCACAAAATTACGCTGGTCGAACGCAACTCGGGCCATCTTGACCGACGACGCCGATCAGGACGAGTCTAACCTGTGCTTGACCGTTCTGAAAGATGAGCCTGAGGGTCCTCGTTCCAGCTGTTTTCTGGATCTGAGCGTTGAATGTGACTGACTGACTGTTAATCAGTCGCAGGACTTGGTAACGCTGGGTGTTTTTTGTGCTTGGATGATGCCCAATGAAAACGTCAAGCACATTGCGCGCGATTTGCCCAACGGCAAGCAAGCTGTAGGGATCTCTAATGACAATCAGGGACACTCTTAATACCATGGTGAGTGTGATATTATCATGACCCTCCTGGTTGCCTCAAGCTGCTGCTGTTCGACCATCTCTTTTCGTTGAGACTATAGTTAAAGATAAGCAGCAGTGTGCTTGTAGTCCAGGAATATGCTTTTCACTGTCAAAGATGGGTATAAAAGGGATGGCTGACTCACACTTGCAGTCAGTTAAACTGAAAATTTCCTGTACAACAGTGCTATTGGAGATGACCAGTACATGACAAACACTGACCAGAACAATTTGGGACAGAGATAACAGGTGGTTGAAAGTGAGTCAGATGAGTGATCAGTCTTATCATAGATCTTGGTGGGCAGTGGTTATATACAAGTGGCAATGTCAGCAAATACAGTGATATATGTCTGTTTTTCACACTATCATGGAGTTTTAATTCAGAACAATGCTTGTCTATATTAAATATTCTTAGCAAAATAGAGCTTTAAATAGATAGATTCATACCTCTGCCTGTCAGCATGTAGACCAAAGCTGACAGGCATAAAATCTAATCAGGCCAATTTATGAATACATTCATGGCATTGAATTGTACAGATACTGTGTTGGAATTTAGGTGCTGATGATTTGGAAGGAGGCATATTGGACTTGAAAGGAAGGTATATTCCATCATACAGAGTAGGAACAATGGGGGTTCCAAGTCAAGTTGATAGATATGAAAATGTCAAAGTATAAGATAAGCAGTAAAATATATATAAATAGAATGTGACAATTAAAGCTGTGAAAACTGAATCTCAACATACTGGGTGGGATGTAAACTATTGAACTTGTTGATATTAAGCACAGAGGACCCTACCCTTAATATTGGTTCTCACCTATTCAGGCAATGGCCTGACTAAGCTCATAATCAAGCTTGAACATAAATATTAAGTTTTGTTATATAGAAGATTCCAAGAACAGTACAATGTAGTGGACATGGGACAATGATTACAAGAGTAAAAGTGAGACTTAAAGCCTATTAGAAGATATTCATATCTTATACCAGTATGTTTCACTTTCAATTGTTTATCTTTTATATCAACCTTCTGTTCTTATGATTACTTATATACTTTGGCTGTAGTTACCTGCATACCTCAGTCATTCTACCATTGCTGTGCCCAAATGAGTGAACACTTACATTGTCCCTCTATTAGATTATGGCCCTATAGCCCAAATCCAGTCAAAGAGAACACACAGTGACTAACAACTCAAATTTAAACACTTACACACTCATACCACCCCTCCCACTATCTGTCTCCTCATTGTCATCATCATATCCCTGAATACATCATTGAATACAACAGGAGTCACTATACTTTCAGACACAAATTTCCACTTCAACAGAAAGAACTGTCTTATAGAAACTCCTGCTCACTGGACTGCTGAAAAGACAAGGCTTGTGAGGATACATTGAAGGATTGATACTATGCCCAGCCATACCCATCATGCCCAGGAGTGGATCTACCACTGTATCCCTACCACCTGACTCTACATCCATCTACTTGTCTAATCCATCCTGAGATGAATGGATTTTTCATGATCAGCTTGTATATTCTCACATTGTTCTCAGTGTTCTTGATCCTATTGGATTAGAGGTGAGAACCAACAGGACTGCAAAAGAGTGTTGAGACTCCATCATAGCAGAGCATGCTAAAAAGACTGATATAGCTCTATCTGAGGCTGAGTCTGCACTGAATGCACTTAAGTTTGATGGAAATAGTGATATTGATACTCACATTGCTGAGCTTCATACTTGATGATAAGCAGTGAATGATCTCAGTACCACTCTGATAAGCAATCAGACATTTGATGGAATTATCATTTGATCAATCCTACCTACAGACAATTGAATGCCTATCCTCCCTAGTCTGTACTCATTGCTTGCCTCAATAGATATCATATCTCACCTTCAGACCCATGCTGCTATCTTACATGCTGCAGGTAAAGGCCTGATGTAATTACAGGCACTTGCAGCTGGATCAAATGCTCCTGCCCATATCCTCTGTGGAAATCCAGGCTGTAAGGCCTGTGATAAGATGAAACACTATAGAAAATTGCTTTTGGCCAGAGGATAGAAAGAAGAGACAGTTTCTTCTGAATTTTAAGCATCAACATCAAGCCAAATATGCAAATGCAACATCTGACAATGTTAGGTATTTTGTTCTAGTAGCATGTGCTATGACAGTCAACTCTGACTGAGGTGAAAATAGAGTAATTGTTGAGGATGGTGAGACTGGTAAACATGTGTATAAGTGGAATAGGACCTGGTCCTTCTGAAGATGGGATGAAGATGGTGGCAGTGACATAAAGTCATTCACAACAGTGGAATCCAATTCCATCTCTGACTTTGAAAGTGTCACTATCTCTGATACTGAGTTCTCTGATCTGAGAGAGTCTGATGATGAGATGCCAATTTTGCAAGCTGTGGACACTGATTTAGATGAGGAACTCACTGAAGTGGACACTGAGAGTAGTGTTATCATGGAGGAGATTTATGTGAATATAAAACCAGCTGAAAGAGCTTTTGTGACTATAATTTTTGAAGGAAGAAGCCCATCCATGATACTCATCTTTATGGACTCAGGGTCTAGTGACTTCTTTTTCAAGAATGAGAAGAATTTCACAGACTATATGCCTTGTATATTCTGAATAGATATGTCTGCTATCAAGGCAATAGAGAAATTTGACTTTCTAGAGAGAGAAACAGCATCAAAAGTGTTTCTCTCTGAGGGAAAAGTGGTCAAAATTACATTCAAGAATGCCCTTCATTCACCTTTTCTCACTGCAAATCTCATCTCAATTAGTGCACTCAACAAAGCAGGCCTCTGCAGCATTTGAAGATGGGAAGGCTGTTGTGAAAGACAAATCAGAGCATGTTTTGTTTGTTGGATAAGGATTAGAAAGAATGTATGTACTCAAATCCATTATGTCTCTCCAGGCTATGTTCTTAAGGGCCACTGCTGCTCTATTGTCTGGATAGCATCATCATCTTGTCCACATAAGTCTTAAGACAATTGAGGAGATAGTGTTGAAAGGTCTAGTTGATGGTCTGAACATTAGTATGAAGTCTCTGGTAGGCAGATGTGAGGACTGCATCCTTGCACATCAGACTCATCATTCTTTGAAAGACATACATGATGATTCTTATTGACAGTAGGACTGGATACAAGGCTGGTGAATTCTTGGTGGATAAATCAGATGAGTCAATGGTAGCAGCTTTTGATAGATGGAGGCAGCTAGCAGAGATACAGATGGAAAAGAAGATGAAGCAGTTGAAGGTTGATCATGCATTTGTAGGAACAAAGTGGACTGATTACTGTGCTGAGTATGGGATTATTCTAGAACTTACAGACAGCTTTTCACTCCTTGGCACAGAATGAACTTGCTAAGCATGCAATTCAGACAATGATGGAAGACATGAGAGCATTACTTAGCAACTTGAAACTTGTAGACCATTATTGGGCTGAGACAGCTGCAATGTCAATTTTTACTCAGAATCTTGCTCTCTCATATCATCACCTTGGCAAGATCCCTGCTGATATTTTTACTGGACACCAGCAGAATGTGGGCTTCTTTCATATCTTTGGTTCAACATGCTAGACTTGTAAGCCTATGTCTGGTGGTATTTTAGTGGATAGTGAGAGCAAACTTGACTCATAATTAAAGAACTGTGTGTTTCTGGGATATGCAGAGTCAAACTATTATGTTCTCAATCAGTCAGAATGCATATTCATACTCTGTGATGTCATCCTTGATAAAGATGTTGCTCACAACTCCATGACTGTGAGAAAGACTGAGTTAGAGGCTACACTCATGCTCTCATCTACTCTGACATCAACTATGACTATGACTATAATAGCTCACACACTTGAATCTGCCACACCTGATATCTCTGATGAACCCACTCTATACTGATCATCACAGCTGACACATTCAAGCTCCAACTTAATGGAATCACTTACATCAGTCCAGCATGAGACTGAGGCTCACTTGAAGAGTGATGATTAGGCCACCAACAACAGACTACCATATGCATTCATAGCATTGTTGGAGGCTAAGCCAGATCCCTACATCCTCAAGAATTATAGAGACATATTAAAGGTGAATGAAATGAGATAGAGAGCTCTGATGGACATGGAGTACAACATGCATCTTGAGAAACACACCTGAGACCTTGTGGATGCATCCAAAGGCACTAATATTATAAACCACAGGTGGCTATATAGAATAAAGTGGGATGAGAATGGTAACTGGCTCTATGACAAGACAAGACTGATTGAAAAAGAATATATCCAACAATATGGTCTTGATTACAATAACATTTGAGCTGCAGTGACTTGACTCAAATCTGTGCACATATCTGCTGCCATTGCCACAAAGCTAGACTTACACTTATGGCAAGTCAACTTCATCTCTGCATATTTGAATAGCAAAATGATAGAGGACATCTATATGTGTCAGCCATCAGATTATATCATTAAAGAGCAAGAAGACAAAGTCTGCAAGTTAGTATATACTATCTAT